TTTGTTCAGCCGGATAATCTCCACATGTCTACCCTACTTTTATAATTTTCGAATCATAAATCTAATCGATAGATTATAAAAGGGTTTTAGGATGCGTCACTGCACCACTAGAAGCCAACTCCATCGATCAAGCTGGCTGAAACTGGCTGAAACTTTCTCTCCCTCTTCTTCTCATGCTCCCTGTCACTCTCCAGGGAGAGTGACAGGGTGACTCCTCCGAGTGACTCCTCCGGTGACTTTCTTTTATTTGAAGATTGTTTTTTGCACGGCGCTTGGCCGGTTACCGCTGGTATTAAAAACATTTTGGCGAATGGTTAGGTGGCGCGATAATCTGTAGTCAGTGGCGGCGCCAGGGTATGGCTGGGGTAGGCTACAGCCATACCAAGAAATGGCTTAGCCCTACCTTAGCCCGACTATGTTAAAGTAAGCATGTTGAGAACACGGATTGCGAAAATCTACCGGTCGTGTCCACAACACACAAACTGATCCTGCTGTAACAACAAGTGCACGTTACTGACGCAATATGGTTGAGACCATTCGGGCTTATGCTAGAGGGGTGCAAGGAATAGTCCAAGTAGTGGGGGAGTTTTATACACTAAAGGTGTGGAAATTCTCTCGCGTTATAATATCAGTGCGGCCGCGGTCAGATCAAAATGCCTCCGAATGCAATTTGAATGTCTATGTTTGAATAGACCTACAGCCAATCAGAGCAACGAAACGTTGGGTCTGCTGCGTCATGCATTACTGATACGTCACGTTCACAGGGGAAAATCCCCAAACTCGCTCCGAGTAAATTGCAGACAGAAAGCAGAACTTCTAGGATTAATTGTATATTTCGGATGGATAGATTTGTTCTTAAACGTCCTCGCATTGAGGTACAAGTTGAACAGGTGCCAGAGTCACACGACCCACCTGAAGAGTGAATAGTGAGTTTTGAATATATTTTTGTAATAATGGGTCATTTGAAAAAGTGTTTTGTATGACAATAGAGACACAGGCCACCTGTTGTGTGCTGTGTCTGTCTCTCTCCGTTTACTTGTCTCTCTCTCTCTCTCTCTGTCTGTCTCTCTCTCTGTCTGTCTGTCTGTGTCTCTCTCCCTCCCTCTCTCCGTGTCAATTCTATATGCCAACTTTTCTTGTTTCTGCCGCTGCATAGCATGTTGTAACAACGTGGAATTAGCAGAATAGGCTATTGTATTGTTTAACTCACACCTGTTGCTCTCGATGTAATTTAGCTGATAAAAGGAGACTAATAAAAGCCTCACGTGTGGCGTTTCACTGTCAAGGGGTGCGATATAGCGTGTATGTAATTTATATTACAAATACTGACTTGAGCCCCACCACTGTATGGGTTAGCCCTACCATAGATTTCCCAACAAAAATACTCTCACGGAGCCTGCTCACACTGCAGCAAACAGCTGTTTGCTTTTCACCCAACAATGACTCACGATGAAACAATTTAACAAAATTGCTAGTCAAAATACCAATAACACAGGAAACATTTTTTTTAAACAGTATTTTTAGTGGCCCGAGCGGGCAAGTGGAAAGTATGTTATGCTGGCCCGGGGTGTCTAAATAGTGCTTCCGGGCCAGCGGGCCATTTATAATGTCGAGCCCTGAAGTGTACCGCTAAGATACAAACAAACAGGCTTCATTTAACAAAGCCATGCATCAAATATAGATTTAGATGTCAAACCTAACAAAGGTACATGCGGAGGGATTAATCACAGCTTTGTACACTCCAATAATAAATAAGTGCATATCTTAACACACGTTAAAACTGTAAATTGGGGTTACAGGCTGAAGAGGATTCAATAGTTTAATTTCTTATGCGAGTATTGTGATGTTCTTTCATAATTTTTACGTCAATTTATTTGATAGTAGGGGAGAAATTGAACATGTGGACAGATTTGGAGAGGGAAGAGGCTTCCCAACTTACAAAAACACACAAACGCACCTGGTGGGGGGCTGAGATTCATCTGTTTCTCCACCTCGTTCTGGAGCTCCTTCAGCTTCTCTGCCTCTTCCTCCATCTCTCTCACCCGGGCTTTGATTGCCTCCAGCTCCTGCAACACAGACAAATCCATCAGTTCATTGTGAGTTATTACAAGTGTCATTATCACTTGATATAGTGGATGATAAAGGTATGCTACAGGGAAGTGGAGGTGCGGCGTTAGACAACCAAAATCTCCAACTATTAGTAAATCCAGGTAATAATAGTCAGATTAAATCATAATGAAACTGTTAGCTGCAGCCCTGCAGGAAGATGGCAGAGGAGAAGGAGATGCTGCACATGTGAAAGTGATGCTGCAGTCCTAACATGACCTCAATCTAAGGAGAACCAAGTATCTGTGCTGATTCTGCCCAACTATAACATTTGAACACAAATAAATCATACCAATTCCAGTAGATAATTTAAGGCAATGAAAATATGTGACATATGCACTATACATAAAAGTGAATATGGGCCCTTTTTCTCTCAGTTATAAATACAATATTTCTGGCTGACATTTCTATGGGTTCATGCTCGTGATAGACATTTGCATTTAATTTATGTTGACAGTGAACATGTTAATTGATAACTAAATGTATGTGCTGCAGCTCTAATACAACTGAAATTAGTCTTTTAGGAAACTCAGCTGGAAACATATTTGGGCCAGAGATGCTGATGAGGTCTGAGGAATAAAGACATTGTGGAACCCACAAAACAATCACTGCAAAAAGAAATATTCCTATAGTAAACTGAGAGATGTCCTCACATGGGAGTAGACCCCCCTGTCCAACAGTGGTGCACTGCAGCACTGTGGGATTCAGTCCAGCCCCATCTAGGCCTGAGCTGACAGGATGTGTAATGTAAAGGCTCTTTGTACAGCAGGGTGCAGTGACACAGACACCCATATAAAAAGCAGGGTATTTTCACTAAAGGAGAGTGGGGGGGCTGCAGTGCAGAGTGCACCACATTCACACTGCATGTGATGTACCCCATTATTTCTTAGCTATCCACCCTTTAGCCACATGCATGTGGAGATCATGGAAGAGGGGAAGTAATCCACCTACACGGCAAGATTGTATAAAAAAACCAGCAACACGACACCTTGGGTCTTATTTTTTGTTGTCGCATATTCAGTGGAAGCTCATCCAGTCCCCTCCCTTCTCTCAGGCTTGCAAAATATTGAAGGATGCAAACCCAGCCCCTCAAATACCGCAACCCCTGCGTTGCATGCCGCGCTCTCACTGCCCAACAGACAGCAGTGCAACATCAAAACCCACCTGGGCATGCTGCAAATACATAATCATGGATTGTGCACGAGTCTGCAGGTGATGGAAAAAAAAGAATAGGCAGCCTGACTTGTTTTTTCACAATTGATCTTGTGTCCAACTGATGCCAATACCAACCATCTGACAATGAATGACAACGATGGCCAGGCAGGTGCATGTCTGTCTCCACCCCAGCTTTGTTAAAATGAGCTAGCCTGATAGCATGTCAGGCTCCTGTTATGGCAAAATAATCTAGCTAGCCGGTTTAAAGTGGTTGAAGGTGAACAGCCACATTTTATATCGTGAGTACGGTTGACATGTCCCTTGGTCAATTTAGCTGCAGCACTTAATACTGGAGCTTGTGATAAGCTAATGTTAGCCTGCTGATGCTATGCCAATTGCGTGTGCACACACCGGTTTTTTGTAATGCAGCAGCCTGCACAACTGGGGAAATACAAATATAAAATAAATCATTACCGTAAGCAGGTCGCCTTCTCAAGCAGGTAGACTCGCTCAGCGGCGGCTAATGGCGACGGCCTGTCCTACCCTCGCCCCTCAATGTCTCCTGCATCTCCGTTTCACATTTTTTGAGACGAGGATTCCCCCCCTCAACAGCTCGAGCTGCTCCCTGGCGCAGAGAAACTAGCGCCGCTGTTGCGCCAAGATGGCTGCCGACACAACGCATGTCACCACCCATTTATACTGCACTGCGTGAACCACAATGGTGGTCAATATAGACATGGCTATAGCAGTAACGCATGTGACCCAATATTCGTGGACTAAATTGACACATATCGCTGCTTTCACTACCTAACTTACTACGCGTTTGCCATACCGTAACCATGTGCGCTCTCACAGTTGAAACAATGCCCTTCACTTACCGGGTCTTCAATCGAGGCCTCCCCCTCTTCTAACCCCGGTTCTTCATCACCGACTCCCGGGTCTTCCAGCTCGGGATGTCCGGGGTCTGAATCTAGTAGAGATTCCTCCGCCAGTCCGTTACCGAACTCCGCCATCGTTCCAACTGTACCGACGCTCCTCGTGGCCAAACCAACGTTGCAGGCCCCTACTCACGCGCAAGGGGGTAGTGAGCGGGGCGGCGGAAAGAAAAAAAACGGCGGAAAACGCCGCTTAGTAAAGTTAAAATGGGGATTAAAATGCTAGCTACAGTTCCAGCCACCACTCAAACAGCACCCCACGATGAAAAATAACTGCCGTTTCACTCGATACCTTTAAGCATAAGTCCTAATTAACGTCAGAGAACCTAGTTTATTTACTTAAATGAGTGTATAAAAAAGGCGAGTAGTCTACACGGAGCGGCGGCGTCCCTTCAGTTCAGAAATGGAAGCCGGGGGCGGAGTCATGTATCACTGCGGGCGTAAAACTCTCAATCCTATTGGTCGGTGCATTATTCTGGACGTTCCTTTTTTTATGTCTGCCGCGTTCCTATTGGATAGTCAAGCAGGATTTTCCGGTTCCCAAATAGCATGTGTGCTTTTAATTGGATTAGGTTTCTGTCATTCATATTGGTTTTGGTGGTTCGTGAACTGGCAAGGCAAATTAATTCCAGGCACACTGTGTGTAGACTTTAGTCATATAAATTGTTTCCTGCAGTGTGACCTGAGTGACCTTTATTTGAAATATGCCCCTCTTGTAAATGTACTTTTTTATATATTATTAATTTAAACCATCAAAAAAGTACAGATAAAAGCCCCAATCGCACTGCAGTCAGACAGATACACTTGTTGTTCAACTGATTTTATTTATTTTTCTGTATATCAAAGAAAGCATAATGGAGACCAAACACAAAAAAGGCAGGTACAAGTGAGGAGGAGAAAAAATAAGCTTAATCAAAAATCTAACACCACTGCCACTATTATTGTTCAATATTAGAGGAATACCATATTGTTTTTGAGCAAAAAGGTGGCATTAAAACCATTATGGATCAATAATAATCAAAAAACAGTGATGGGTAGTAATGAAAAATCGTATAAGTAGTAGTACAGTTATAACAATAGTGATAATCAAAGTGACAATGAAACATAAGAGTAAAAAGCAGATCTCCATAAAAACCTATCTAGTTTGGACAGTGCAACACTGTGTCTGTGTGTGTGCGTTTGTGAAATCCCAGTCTTGAAGCTAAAGCACTCCAGTCCGGTTGCTTGAAACACAAGATACAGTTTCCAACAGGAGTACAAATTATTACTCATGAAAGGACATTGTTACCATCCTGGTTTCAAAAACCACACCAAGTGACTTTAATGTCGTGTAAATGGCTGTGTTCATCTGAAATATCTGTAGCTTGTGCAAAAATTGTGGACTAGTGCAAGTGTCAAGCTGTGGGATGTCCTTTACAGTTTGCATTTACAAACACCTCTCCTGCTCTCTGTCGACCTCAAGATTGCTTTTTGGTTTTTGAATGACAGAAAGCGAAGGAAGGATTACTTTGGAATATCAGTTCTTTTTTTTAATATATTTCTTTACAAAAGTTCATGTTTTAATTTTGCATTTTGTTAAAACTATCAATAGTAACATTAATATACAACTTAAATTGAAGGAAAACATCTTTAGTATGTTATGTGTCCTTCAACACAGCACCATAGCTCTCAGTCAACACGTTTAATGTTTCCCAATTTGCTTTCAAGATTTGAGTATCCGTTAGTCCCTTAAGGATACTAGTAATACCCAACTTTCTCCCTTGTTATGGTTTCCAAATATAAGAACTCATGTCACAGAATTACATGACCAGAATTATTAACTCTTTGTATCAAAACAGAACAAAACACATGGGGAACAAAGTATGGGAAACAGCCCATTCCAAGCCCTGTTATATAATATTTCTAGAGGCTTGGCTTTTGACCTAAATAAAACAATCTGTTACATCAGTTATTAATTGCTTCTATTGGCTTTTGTATAAATATTGAAGTTAATAAAATGAGTACTTAAATGTCCCGTCTTATGCAGAGTATTCATGGCAAAGACAACCGTAAATCCATTAAATTGGTCTGACCCTCCGGGCCAGATGAGGAGGAAATCAATTCACTACTATTATACGAAGATCACCTGGGCTTAAATTCAGATACCTGGGGTTGTTTCTTCTTAAGGCTGTCAAATTTCTAACGCACCCACAGTTGGTGAAAACATTTATTTTACCCAAAAGTTTGAAGAGCTGCATTTCAAAATGAGCTATATACCATTGGGAGGGAAAGGGAAATCCACAGGATCAAAGAAATGTGTTGCAAAAACAAGATAGTTGGTAGTTATGTAATTATAGTCCTTGGCCAAGAGTGCTGAAAACTTTAGAGGCGGAATTTGCTATGTTCTAGGTACAGAATGGCATTGAGATGTTTCCCCCCCCCAATAATATAAAAGCCTTTTGGAACAGAGCTCTTCATGTACATAGACAGGTCTGCTTCTTCTACAATATTATAGTCACACCTAAAGAAGGTTTTATTAGACTAGCAAAAACCAATTTATCTCACGTGATTTATATTAAGGCATCCAACATGCATTTATGTATCTTTCCATAAAAGACACTTGCATTAGAATGCTTAAAAACATTTGAAACTAGGTAAAATGTGTCAAAAGTGCGATATGCCGAGACTTTCCTCAGCCTCTCCTTTTGCCCTGTCTATTTGGATTGTCATGAAAACTGCTAACATGTAAATGGGGACAATTCAAAAGCCCTATTCTCTCTAAAGTACCTATTTTTTTTATCCCAATGAATGGACACAACACTCTTCAGATCACACTTCTGTAGCAAATAAAAAAAGGTGACAGTCAATACCACTTCTTGCTCTCCCAATGGTTCGGTCCAGTCATATTATATCCAAGCATTCTTTGCCCTAGAAGTGAACGTAGGCATGAGAAAAACAATTCCACAGGAGAAAACTGGGAGTTATTTATGCAAGTTTTTCACGTTAGTATCCCAAAAAGTTTCCGGGCCTATCGTCAAATGGCCACTTGCAAACAGGAAACACTTTTGCATCCGTCTTTAGGTTAGCAAAGTTCAAGCATGGCAAAGTTGAGTGCCTTTACAAATCATAGGAAGGTAATTGAATTAGGGTAATATATAACCACAGGAATAGGACCAAACATGTTTGGATAAAGTGAGTGAGGATTGAGATGAGTTCATCACTCAGCATCTGAGTGTGTGAAGCAGCATGGAAAGAGTTTGCTGTTGTATTTGATTCCAGGTGAAGTCTTTAGATTACCGGAGTTCGAGTCGGTGAAGGTTGAGCAAGGGATAGTGGGTGCTGGGGGAGCTAGTTTTTCAAAAACTAAAGAATATTAGCTCTTGAGGATTAGTGCTCAAATTTTATTAAAATCTGAGGAGCCCAAATGGGTCCAAGAATAGTCAGTGTGCAGACCAATCCTGATCTGAGTCTTTAACTGTTGCTGGTGGCCGTGGGTGGAGGTGAATCGATAACCATCTCCCCTCCCGAGCTGGTTAGCGGAGTGGACTGAGGGACCTGCGAGCCGGTGCCGTTCTTGTTGACCAGCGTCGTCGGCTGGCCAAAGTTAGTGGTTCTCAGGGTTGCAAGATGACGTGGGGAGAAGACGTGTGCCCTCGCCGCTGCCCGGGATTCAAAGGAGATGCTGCAGGCGTCACATCGGCCTGTGAGGGTCTCCTTCGGCCCTGGCTGACCCGCCACTGGGGAAGCTGGAGATTCAGTAACGGTCAGCTGAACTGGTTTCGGAAGAATGGGACGATTGGCTTTGAGAGCGTTGTACTGCAGGTAGCTTCCCGAGCTCATGTCTACTTTTCCACCTGACAGAGGAGACTGGGAATGGGAAAAGGAAACAAGAATAAGTTTAACGTCACATATTTTTTTAATTCAAATTGGGGCTTGAAGCAACCAGCTGACATTGAAGCCCTCTATAATTTCTACACACAGAATTCTGAAATGTTACCTTTTAGAAATGACTTGAACATGAAATGTGAATGAAGTGTTTCCAATTGTTTGACAACTTCAAACTAAGCAACATTTGCATAAAAATTCATTTAAAAAAGTCAGTTTTGGTAAGAGTATTACTAAACTAGATTACCAACACTGAGAGACAGCAGTAGAGTACTTCAGGCTTATAAACATTTTGCTTTCAGATGAAAAAAACACCAAAAAAAAAAAAACTTGAAACGAGCAGTGCCGGGTCCTTGAAATTAAATTCTCAATATCAATATTTAACCTACAGAGATGTATATCATAATATGGGAAATGTATGTCACATCTGCTATACCTCACAAAGCTTTAAATGTGCAGGGCAAAAACTTTAATTATTTTTAATAAAAATCTGCTTGAAATCTCTCATTTATCATTTTAAGTTTGTAAAACAATAACAGTGAGAGCACCACAATATGCCCTTCCCCTGCACTGTTGCAACCTCCAGCAAGGTTATGTTGAATCGTTGTTTACTCTGCTGTACCACGTATTGCTCATTTGGGGTCATTCAAGTTTTTCTAAGACTTACTGAAAGTCAATATCTGATAATAGATATTGCCCAGCTTTAGAATAAAAAAGGTGCACAGCAGCAATGGGATAGCACGTTTCCTGTTCTCAGTGACCTACATTACATTACTCTATAAACAATGATATTACCAAAGACCTTGAAAAATACTGTACAGATACTACGTCTCCTTGCCCACTTACCATTTTCTCTTGCTGCAGCCTCCAGCGCTTCTCCTTGGCTCTTGTGTTTTGAAACCAGATCTGCACCACCTTGAGCGGGAGGTTGAGCTCGGTGCCGATGGCCTCACACTCCATCGCATTAGGGTGGGCGCAGGTCTCGTAACAGGACTGCAGTATGGACAGCTGTAGGCAGGACAGGTGTGTGCGTGGCCTTCGGCTGGAGTGAAATTTGCTTTCTGTCGGGCTTGATATAGCTACGACCGGGGTGGAGGGGCTGGCCACTTTGGCAGAGATGGGGGTATTGGGGCTAACTGGTGCAATGCTGGGGGTAGGAGGAGGGGGAATGGTACGAGGAGACGAGTGTTTCGGAAGAGCCAGCTGTTCTCGCGATAAAGTGTTGATCTTAATGGGAACCTTGGGGGTCCAGTAGCTGAGCCCGTTCTGTTTTTGTGGCACCACTGTCGTGGCGGGGGGCCTGTTGTTGATGAGGGCGGTGGGCAGCTTGGGCACCATGCGGTTAGTGGTTCCTGGCCCAGAAACCATCTCAATGTCATTGTCCCTCTCATCGTCAGTCTTTTCTTCTTCGCTCTCGTCTTCTAGCTTTCTTTTCTGGGCCGGTCTCGGTGCAATGGGGATTGGATCCTTGGGTGGGGATAAAAGGACAGGCGTGATCATTTTGGGTACAACTTTGACCATGGGGACGTTGCTGGTGGTTTCGAGCTTGGCCTTTGGCACTGCAGAAGCACTGCTGCTCACAGGAGAGACAGTGGTAGAGGAAACTAAGGAAACTTCCCTAGGCTTGATAGGAACTGGGCAAATTTTTTTCCCCACAACAGGGTTGGCCAGCTCCTTTACCGGCTCTCTCTCCGTCTTAATGAGGGTGCGTACAATAGGAGTAGTTGTGATGCACCCAGTATTATTTGGAGCAGGTTTGTTGGAGAAAATGGGTTTGGAAAGAGGCCAGGTAAACTTGATTAGAGGTTTTCCAACCGCTGCCAGCGTCCCATCACTGATGAATCGGACCTCGCCCTTTCGTTCCCTGGCCCTCATGTTCTGGAACCAAATCTGGACAACCTTCTTTGGAAGGTGGACCCATTCTGAAATCTGTTCAAACTCATGTTTCCCAGGATTTGGGTCTTTGAAATAGCAGCCATACAGAATGTCAAGTTGTTCAGCTTGAATGATGGTTCTTGAACGCCGCATATCCCGATACCTTTTGCCTTTGGACTTCCTCTGCTGCTGATCCTGCTCCCTCTCCTTTTCTCGCTCTCTTTCCAATAGTGTGGCATTCATTTTCTCTGCTGCTCTCATGTAGATACTAGACTTTGACATGTTATAGTTTATCAGACTCATGCCGTTGGAGGACATGGAATTAATAGGTTCAGGTTTCACCTGGACTACTACCAGACCTTTGGAGGTTGGCCTCAAGCCAAGGCCATCCAGCAGTTGCCCCTTTTGTGCTGCAATTTTATCAGCCAGAGATGATGAGGAAGAAGCAGATTTTGAGTTATTTTTTCCCATGCTGAGATCCAGGGCGGACTCACAGTCACCACCATTAGACAGGTAGTGGGAAGTTTGGCTGTGTGATGAGAGGGAAGGCGAGAGAAGGGAGCTGGAGAAGCGTGTAATTGTCGGTGGGTTAGGGAAGAGGGGTAACTTGCACCCATCAAGCAGTGTAGGAGTAAGAGAGAGGACATAGGGGCTGAGGAACTGAGTAGAAAAAGGAGCAAGAGACAGGGGAAGTGAGTGGAGGGCACTGGTTGGAATTTCAGCATGGGACTGTGAACCTGGAGGATCCCCTTGGGCCTCCAACTCGAGATCAACATCAGAGTCCTGTCTCTCCTTCTTCACCTCCACCTGATCAAACTCCCCCTTCAGTTTTTTTCTTTTTGCCCTTGGACCCCCTTCATTCTCCTCATTTTCATACTCATCCTCTGCATCAGATAGAAACACGGTTGTAGAGCGCAAAACCTTTCCTCCGACCCCCACTTCGGACTGCCCGTCTTTAGCAGGGCTCTCAGGGCCCCCCCTTAAAGATCCATTCTGACTTTCCTCATCAGACACAATGATGGAGGTGTACACCTCATTTTCTGAGTCCGAAGTGAGACAAGAATCCCCCCGACCTCTCCTTCCCAAATTCCTCTGTCTGCGTTTCCCTCCTGTTCTAGACAAATCCATTGCGTGGCTACCTGATGGTTCAATATCATCTTCTGCTATTACCAGTGAGCTCTCCTCGTCATCATAGTCATTTTCTGAACTTTGGGAATGCCTTGTAAATCCTGCCAAGCGTTGAAGGTGTTGTAAGCCTGTGGCCCTCTGCCTTTGTTTTAGATGTCTGGCTTGGCTCAACCACCTACGTACGTCTTCCTCAGAAAGCCCTACTTCTCTGCCAGTGCCTCACAGTCCTCACGGGGAGGACTTGCAGCATCAGCCTCACTGCGCGACTCAAAAAACGCCCAGAGAACCTCCGACTGGAACTCTGACAGCACTGGAAGGTCTGCATAAATGAATCGCATGTCATTACAATGGCCTCGAGTTCGGTTCTTCGTTAAGGCAATTGTGTTTGGGCTGGATTTTGGGGTGACAAGAGAGCCACAAGGGCTAGTGCCAGATTGTGATTTTTGAGGGGTAGAATCAGGGCTAAGTGTAAGATTTAAATTTAAAGGACTTGAGCTTGAGTTGCTGGCCACAGATGCAGAAGGCGAGAGATTCTTATTGCGGAGGCTCTTGTCTGTGCCCACTGGGGAGAGATTCAGGCTAGCGTCTTTATCACCTTCCAGGTCCAACTGATTAGTCGAGCTGTCTCCATCTGTTGTGCTATCTCTATGTGCCTTTCCATTGTCTTCCTTATTCTCAACCTTCCCTTTGACTTCTATATTGGGACACTGTGCAGATTTGTTACTGTCCTCTGTAATCAGGCTATTGCTGTCCTTGATCTGATCCGAGCCATTCTCTTCAACTGTCACATCACTGTCCAGCTCTTCTTGTTCTTTCTCACACTTTATAGTCTGTTTCTGCTCTTCCAGGCAAGGCTGCATGTTTGTTTGAACTCCTGCAGAGGGCCACAGGTTTTGTAAGCTGTTAAGTCTTTGGGTTAGGAGAGCCTGCTGTGCTGTGCTCAGACCTACAAATGGCAGACACTGGGTTAGGAGCTGGCCTCGCTGGTTCTCTTGGTGCTGCTGGGTTTGGGCTTGGAGCCCATTCAAGATCAAGGGCAGGACCATTTGCGGCTGAGGCATGGCGGCACCAGGAACAGCACCAGCTGCAAACAGGGAGGGGAGGAGAGAGTGTGGGAGGTTGTTGGGGCTAGATGTGAGGAGGGTGAGAAAGGCTGAGACTGCCTGAGCTGAGGCCACAGGGGACGTGAGGAGGGAGGGAGCTACTTGAGACGTTTGAATCTGCTCTCCCTCTTTTGTAGTAGTCCCCATTAAGGTCCCAGGAGCAGCACAGTTGGTGGTGGTAACTAACTGACTGGTTCCACTTCCAGATGTGGTCACTTCAGTGTTTAAAACACCGGTGGTGGTTCCTCCCAAACTAGCAGTGGCAACTGCGCTTTTTGCATTTCTGCTACGGGTCTGGTGCAAGACAGATTTCATATGGCTCTCAAGGGTGATGGCATGATTGTAAGAGACGTGACATGTAGCACACTGGTAGGGTTTGTATAATACATATGGCCGAGAAAGGAAAGGAAACGAGGAAGCCGGGGGATCGAGGTCCCCACCTTGTTTTGCAGGGCCTTTTGTCATCCTCTGAATGTGGGATGCAGAGTTGTAATGAACTTTCAAGGCAGTTTTGCCGGGAAAAGTTTCCTGGCAGGCATTGCATTTGAATGACTGGGTGTTATTTTCAGCTTGCACACCATTTTTAACTGAATTGTCCCTAGTGTCTGGGATTTCTGTGTTTTCGGTTGTATTTTGCCGTTTGGCTCCTGGGAGTTGATTTCCCTCCTCTTCTGACACTGACTCAGCGTCGCCTCCCTCCGGTTCCGTTATTCTCTCTTCCTCCATCTCTTTGTCTCCGGGCGTCTGGGTGGCGTCTGAACTCTCACTAGATTGGCAGGGATCTGCGCTGACTTCAGCGTGCTTCAGTTGGGAAGATTCAGCACCTGATGAAAATAAAAACATGTTTCATTTGTATGTTCTAGTAAGCTGAGGTCTAACAGAACAAACAAAAATACAGGACAGAATAAAAGTTATCCGGCTCATCAACCTTTTAACCCAGATTATCTGCAAGTTTTCATTGTCAATGCTTGTCCTTGGTATTTATTTATATACTTTTGAATTGTCACACATCAATTAAAAGAGCCACACATATCTATATTATAGAGTAATTAGGGTTTCGCTCGATAAAAAAAGGTTGGCAATTACAGTGTTATTATAAGAACATAAAGAAAACCATGCATGTGTGTTACTACACTCACCTGAAGACTTAAGATCACTTTTGTTTCCTTCTCCTCTACTGGAACCCTGTTTTATAACAGCCTGTTGGAAGAAAATGAAAGGGAGTGTCAGCAAAATTCCCATAGCAAACCTAACTAATGGTTCCTTTCAGATGAGCTAAATGCTGTGTGGCTTTTGAGCAGCACAACATTTGGGCGGGACTCATTGATGTGCAGTTACATAGCAAGCTTGGCAACTCTTTAATTTATAAATTACCCTAAAGGCATAAATTAAGAGGTCTTTGATAATTTAATCCACCAATGACATTCCTTCTATTTCTTTACATTTAACGTGCTAAATTGTCCTCCACCCATTGCAAATAGTGTGTTAATTGCAGTGATAATTTGATCTCTACTCAACCAATACTTTTAACACTCATTTAAACAATCAAAATAACTTTGCCTGTCAATCTGCATAAATAAGTGATGAACAGAAACAACCCAGTCCCCATTCACACTAATTAATAGAGAAGTAATGATTAGGTAACTAATCGGTAGTCAATGGACAGAAGATTCTTTAGCAACTATTTGGATAATCCATTAATACTTAAAGTATATTTAGATTTAAATTATAGTTTAGGATTAACAACACATTTAAAAAGACATCATCTTTGACTTTGAATAACTGTGAGGGACATTTTTCACTATTTCTGACAAGATTATTAATTGAAAAAAAATAAAATGTAATTGACAAGACTATGCAGAAAAACTTTAAGTGTATTTTTTTCACTGATTGTCTGAAAAAAAATCTAAAAAGTCAATCTAAAATTGTTGGGCTGAGGAAAGTTTAATTAAAAATGTAAAAGACCATTTATGACTATTTTGTTCAAATTACAGCTTTAACAAAACACTAAGATGTGAATATTAATGAGCACTAAACTATGTAAATACATATGATAATATCCTAGGATAAACATTTTTGTTAAATAAAAATGTCAAATTCATAGCCTTTATGTAACCAATTTTACTTGTGTCTCTCAAACCAGGGGACAAATAAGGTTATCCGTATGTCTGAGGGATCGTTTTGTATCTAACATAAAATATACAACATAGGGAGGACAAAGTAACAAACAAATGATCATACAGTACATCAGCAGTGAGTACTTATTTGGTAAAGCTCATATGTTTTATAAAAGTTAATTTAAAAGTCGTTGACAATCTGTGACCCCTGTTCGTCTTTGCTAATGCAGTTTTCCTTATCACATCATTTCTATTTACTGCAGAGCTCCAGCATTGCAATGCATGTGATATTTGGTCCAACCCCTGTATATCAGTCAGCAACAAGTGGGCTCATTAAACATTATGCATATATTTGATGTACAACCCAAAGTAATTAGGTTTTACACTTTGAGACTAGGCTGCCCGGGCATACTTACAATGTCCAGCAGATTGTCGACACAAGATGGAAGTACGCTGTGTTGCTCAGTGAGATGTAGCGACAGGCAGGATCTGTTGGGTTGCCCTTTTTGGCACAGGGGGCACAGCCACTCAGCCACTCCATTGCTTTCAGTGCTAAATGTCTCTCCAGACTCCTCCTGACAAGAAAGGAAGTACATAGAAGATTTTAAGGAATGCTACACTTTCTGGGTCTGTTCTTATTATTCATCACAATTGCAGAATAAAAAAAGAAAAGAAAGAAATTAAGTAATTTCAACAAGATCAGAAAAAGAGTAGCACCCCAAAAAGATAAAAGCAAACCATTGTGATAAATATATATAATGTAACAAGCGTTTTAACTGTTGGAAGCAACAATCTGAGGCAATTTACCATAGCCTTCAATAGGTATGCTGTGTCCCGTTTACCAGTAAAACTATTCCTAGATCAGTATTTCATAATTAAAAAAGGTCTCTGACATTAACTTTGTTGGTTAAGGAGGTTCCCAACACTTAGTCATCAATGACCGTGTCAAATTACAGAATAATGCAATTATTTACATGACATCTTTGTCATGTAAATTAGTACCCACCTAATGCTTTCAGAAGGGTTTACATTGCACCTTTGAGAATTCTAAATACTAGACTGTTTAATAAGGCTTTGAAATCAATTTCACATTCAGCAAACTAATGTATCACATTTACAGGACATTTGTAGTAACGCTCAATCCAGATCATAACACGCACTGCTTGACAACTAAGAGTACACAGTCTGTGGAAACACTTATTTCCCCCCAGTTTTGAACAAGTAACGTGGCCAATATATTAAATCTGATCTGAAGCTCGACGTGCGTAATCAAATGACTGTTACTCCCTCCCACGCAGTTATAAGGAAGTCAAAATAGACCACTGGTCTGGATTTCACCACGCAGCTTTGATGTATTTTTCTGCAAGCTTTCGTGATCCAAGATGCAACCAAGACAGCAATCCTCGCCCATGAGGAGAAATACCAACACAGCTACAAAGCTCACTTCCTCGTCATGCCAATTAGCAAGCTAGCAGGGTAATATGAGCAGATAATGTTTCGAAAAGTCTATATCTGCAGTTTATATCGTGTCTAAAAGCTCCTGAAGTCGAGTTTCAGATTTGAAAGCCAAGATATAATAACCAGTTTGACATATCTCTGCTCATAGTTGGCCAATTAATGAGCAGTCTAATTAGCTATGCCGAACAGCGATGAATCAATTAGCTAGCAAGCTAACGTGAGGTTTAGAAGCCCCCCTGTAACGTCGCATTACAGTCGTGTTTGTACAAATGCTGGTTAGCTGTTAGTTTACTGAAAATAACACCGCAGTGATAGCCAGACACTTCTCAGAAACTGCAAAACACAGTACAGTCGCATGCACAATGTCGCTCTCGTTTGAGCCCAGACGATCATTACATTAATAAACAGCTAAACAGCTAATAACAGTCGTGTCACTTTGCTAGCTAGCCTGTTAGCAGAGATAATTAACCGCTCCTCAAACTGTCTCCAACTGGCTGCTCTCCGCAAACTCTGCCTGGTCCAGGTGGGAACTGCAGCTCCGATACACCGAGTTCACCCAGGATACAAAATACTCACACTAGCGCTGATCAAAAACCTCGGCCTCGAGTTATTTCCTTACCCCTCTGATTGTGGGCTGACAGTCGGGTATGTAGTGTTACTCCGCCCGCCGCCTGCTGCTCAACAGCGCAAATTGAGGCCTAGTCGGACTAAAGCCATTTAATTAATGAACGTGGGCTCCGTTTACAGATGTGTTAGAAAACACTCGCTCCCCCTCCTCCCTCGCCGCCCAGCAGACCCCCTTTTGACGCGTCCTAGCGCTCAAATTCATACCTTAAATATTTACGGTGCAACACATGGCCATTTAAACTATAATTTTAACAGATTCGAGCCGTAATTGGCGAACGAATTAAACGCTGAAAAGCTACTTGAAGCGGAGTACGTGCCCCGCGGTCGCCTCGACGATGGGGGTGGTGTAGGGAGGCGAAGAGAGAGACGGGAGGCAGAAAAAAGTTTGGATTTAATGTTGGATTCTATATGGGATCGGATTAGTATGGGGCACGATCCGTCGTTTGCTCGATCCTCTATCAGTCGCAGGCCACTCTCCCCGTTCAAATCAGCACAATTAACCGATCGCAAAAAGACGTGTAATTAAGTTCAGAGCAATTAGCTAATGCGTTTTTACCTGCATGGTCGCCGCTCCAGCACGCACACACACACACGCTTCCTCCGTGGCTCCTCAGAACTGAAAAGTTTTCTTGCCTGCCCTCCCTCTCTCTCTCTCTCCCTCTCTCTCTCTCTCTCTCTCTCGCTCTCCTGTTCTCCCCCTCCCTTCATTCGCCCTATCCCTCTCTCCTTCCCCTCTTCCCTATAGTAAACAGACCACAGCTCCCCCCAAGGCTGATTGCTGACATTCAGAAGGGGGCAGCTATCAAACCCCTTATGTAACCCCGCAGATAATAGAGAGTATTAATGAATCCTGAATTCATAATTGAGCAATAAAGAGAAGGCATGAAAAAATGCATTATATTTGTTCCCCCAATAAGTGTGTCGATGCCTAGATTACACTGAATCTTCCCTCTTTTTTACATTAAAAGGTGAATACAAAATGAGTCCCCATTCTGCCAAATTGGATTGTCACAAAGAGTGTGACGAGTTAATTAAGGCTGAATAATGGAGATGTGACTGCAGAGCCCTTACGCAGCACTATGAGCGCGGTTTATCACTTGTTTTTAATTCAATGAAATGATAGGTGTGGCGCACATAAACAGTCGAGTATGTGGAATAAATATTTATGAAGCAGAGGGGATTAAAACTGCACCATCTGTATGCCCCTGCGTTACCGGGACAGGAAGTGATGTTCCTGAATACCCTGAAAGGTGTCTCCAATTACGCCTGTGCAAAATAAACTGCGCTGACGTGTTTGTGCTGCTGATTGATTGTCTCGCTGGCTTTTTGGTGCCGAATTATATGCACATTAGAACTTGACTTGTGAAGGTGTGTGAGTGTACTGTTTTCTACTTTGATGGTGGTATTTGCTGCTCTCTAGTTCACTTTGGTGATTTTACTTGATCTACTTATGAGCCTGCAGCAGCTTCGAGCCTGTGCATGATGACAGGTGTGGCTGCTTGAGCTCTGCGGCGGTGTAAAGAACACAGTTGTTACAACAATAACAGTTTAGTTTGGAGCATTTACAGACAGTTTGCAGTAGAGCTTTCAAATGAAATTATACTTAACATAATGTATTTTGCAAAACGCAAGAGCAACCAAGGTTATGTTACAGAAGGAGTGTATAACATTGTTGTTGTGTTTATTGCTCGCACTGGTGTTACGTAACTATAGATTTACTCAAGTACTGTACTTGAGTACAATTGTGAGATACTTGTACTTTACTTGAATATTCAAAAAATACTCAAGTAAATATCCATGTTATGCTACTTTGTACTTCTATTCCACTAGATGTCAGAGGTAAATTGTGTACTTTTACTCCACTACATTTATTTAATTACTTTGCAGATTTTGATTAATGATGTGAAATATAATCAACTCTTAAATCAGACTTTAGTTACACCTGAAATAAATTCACAAGCTACCCTGCAGCATACAAAGTCATTAAAACTAACTGCAACTTTAACAGCTTTGATAACACTTTAATGATCAATAATTATAAAACATATCATATATATTATTGTGGAATGGGCCAATCTGCACAATGAGTACTTTTACTTTAAGTACTTTAAATAAACTTTGATGCTAATACTTTTGTACTCTTTTGAATGCAGGACTTTTACTTGTAACAGAGTATTCCTACACTCTGGTACTTCTAATTTTACTCAAGTACAAGATCTGAGTACTTTTTCCATCTCTGATTAGTCGTGCATACCTTTGTTAAACTCATTTTACACTAACAAGTTAAATGGAACAACATTTTGAATTATTTAGATTATTTAATTTCTGGGATTTTATTTATATTGATACATTATTATTTGTATTTTGTATGTATAAAGCACATTTCTCATTATATATAATATTAATCTTATAATTCTCAAATAAAACTTACACCTGCCTCTAAGTATTATTACCATACAGATAATTATCATATCTTCAGTTGTATTTGTGGCCATACATTATTGTTGGTGTTGATCTTGTTCTGTTATTTCAGATGAGTGTTGAAGTGGAGAGAAAATTTGTGTGCAATGCCGACACTCTGAAAACCCTGGAGGAGATCGGGGGTATGTGTTTAATTACACATTACTCATGTGTAAATTATGAACTGAGGCATTTAAATGATGCTTTGATCCACATCCATTTTTAAATGTTCACTGAAGGAATGTAATGAATCAGCCTCGTTAGTTTTTTATATTTAGTTGTACATTTTTTCAATAATCTATTTATCTTCCTCTTTTTTATTCAGCAGTGTGTCTTGGTCAACGGCAGTTTTGTGACCAGTACTTTGACACCCCAAAGTTTGATCTTACTTTGAAAGACATGTGGCTGCGTAAACGTAATGGGTGCTGGGAGCTGAAGTGCCCAACAACAGCGGACAAGGCAGAAGAGACGTCTGGAGAACAATCTAAAGCAGCAGCAATGTGTTCCCGCTACAAGGAGATAACAAATCTGCCTGAAATTCAACTGAGAGTTAAAGAGGTCATAAAAGACGTTTGTGAGGACAGTGAGACGGAGACGAGCCCCTCGCAAGAGGAGGAGTCTTGGATGAGCAGAAATAATCTTGTGTGCTTTGCAGAGTTTACAACAGTGAGGAGGTCGTTTACTTTAGAGGAGGAAGGGGTGCAGGTAGATCTGGATGAAGCTGACTTTGGCTTCCATGTGGGGGAGATAGAGGTCCTACTTCCAGAGGGAGGAGATGTGCAGTCGGCCCTGAAGAAGATTGAGAGAACGGCTGGAAAGCTGGGTGAGCTCAAACCTGTCAAACTGCCCAACCCATTAGTCATTCAGAATCATTATATACCTGTAATACGACATATGTTGCTAATCTCTAAATATGTTCTTCCTTTTTACAGGTCTGACCGGAGATAAGCGTGTTGAAGGAAAAATGCATGCTTACCTTAGGAGAAATCACCCAGAACACTTTGCAAGACTACTGAGTGAACATATTTTGTAGGACATATCTGTAACACAAATGGTTAAATAGTTTTTAAGATGTACATAGTTATATCTATATAACTGAGCCTTTTACATTTGATCTATAAATTGTCCAGACTTAGTATATTCCCTTACTGTAAAGACCTCAATCCCCCATCCTGCATTAGGAATTTTAGAAAACAATAGGCCCTTGAAATGTACACTTGCAGGTTGCTTAATGGTTGTGTCCTACATGCAACAGTTATATTTTTGTCTGGCTGTAATATGAAGAGTGTGAGAGGAAGTGTGAATACTGCAAATAAATGTGGGGTGCAATACTGTTCACTGCCTTTAACAATGATTGTTTTGTACTGTGTGTGTTGTATTAAATAACAGATGTTCAGACATTTATGACACTCCCTGAAGAAGGTGATAGGGCAGAAATGGCTAATTTTTAAACTGACTTCAGCAGCTGGATTATTCTTGTCTATAGAGAGATGATTGAGAGATGGAAATATATCTTCCCCTGGTCTTACATCATCAAACCTGTGTGATTCATTTTTCTGCAGCTCCACTCGGCACTAGATTCTATAAATATGTAACATTTATGTTGATGTTTCTATAATTTGCATTATAATCAATCAATTGGCCTATATTTTAGCTTTACGTTTTAAAAGAACATTTGACTTGTGTATTAAATCATAGCGTGTCTTTTCATTATGATGTGATAAGTTAAAGTAGCCACTACAAGAGCAAAAGGCAGCATGCTCATTTTAAGCAAAATAGATCTCATTGTAATTAGTATGCAGACGCTGCAGGAGTCTACTGCTGTGTCTTCATTCAAATCCGCACAATCATCCATATCTGCAGTACTGCAACAACAACACTGATTCCTCCATAAGAGAGAGAGAGACAAAAGATGGGTTACCACTGTCACGCATTGATCGTCGTCTTCAATTTCAGGCTGTGACCAATCAGTCGGAGGTGATGGAGGGGGTCTCTGAGAGCTTGAAATCAGCCCTCCGCTGGATTGCTCTGTTGATCATGTCTCTACTGTACCAACACCTGGTTTTGGGACCTTTCTCTGGACACCTGTGACGCACACACAATAACAAATTAAACAATGAAGGGTAATGTGATATAGGCAACTTCACTCCGAGAGCAATCATCAGTCATTTGAGAGAAACACACCAACGCTTCTCTTGTGTATCAGTCTGCATTCGGACAGCTGGAGGCCAACTTCATGCACAAACATTGACTTACTCTGCCTTTCTTTTCAAACTTAATATTTGATATCTGATATACTTTATTAATCCTCGTGTGGAAATTGTTTCTCTGCATTTGACCCATCCTAGGAGCAGTGTGCTGCCATTTTGAACGGCGCCCAGGGAGCAGTGTGGGGAACGGTGCCTTGCTCAGGGACACCTCGGTAGCACTTGGTCTTGCCGGGACTTGAACTGGTGACCTTCCAGTAACCAAGCCAAGTCCCTATCGACTTCGCCACCACCGCCCCAAATGCAGCTGCATTCTTCATACAAGATAACACAAAACAATATTCTACTTTAAATTTTGCATGAAACACAGTACAAGTGTTTACACATTACAAGTGTTGCATAAATCATGAATGAATATTGATGATATGTTCAACCTTTTGAGACCGCCTTAAGGTCATCTTTAAGCC